GCCACTCGAACAGCGCTGGAACGCAAAGGCCGGTCACGGGGTTTTCATGGACAACGCGAGGCGGGGCGGCGGGCGCGCGGCCAGGCTGACCTGACGTTCTCGGAGCCGAGACCCGAGATGAGCTTGTCGGCCGCGATCAGCCGCCGCTCCATGATCTCGGCTTCCTCCTGCAGCTTTTGCTTTTCCAGTATGGCGGCCTCGTATTTGGCGCCCAAGGCTTCCAGCTCTCTCTGGATCGCTGCCAACTCGCTCTGGATCCTTTCTAGTTCCCGTTTAGTTAGGTAGAAATTCCGCTCCAGCCTGGCCACCTACGTGGGGACGACTTGTGGAGTGACGGAGAAAGGGCCTCCGTCCGCACAGTGATGTCTGCGCTCTCTGGGCCCACGTGTGCTCCACTGAGGCCCGTGGCCACTTCTCTTAGCTACCTCCCCGACTGCTGGCTGCAAACTCCACATCTCGCTGCAGAGAGACACCCCGCCTCCCGGCAGCACGCGGTTTAGTCTCCACGGCGCTGAGGTCATAGAAAGAGGCCATTCGAATGCACACGTGACGACAGCCCGGGCTTTCCCACTGCGTCTACGCTTGCCGAGAACCGGGGAGAAGGGACCGCAGCCCACCATCCCCTCTGGGGCAGGGTGTGAGTTCCTGCTTTCTCTCCCTCTCAATCTCTGTCTCTCTCTGTCAAGTGCACATGTCCTATAGCCAAATTTGATTAAAAAATAAGTAAAAACACACTGGTTTTACATGTTGTGTGAGATTACCTCCAGTCACCGTAGGTTTGAAAATTCTTCCAGTAGAAATTAATGCATGTTACGGTCTTTCTCAAAGGAATGGAATGATCAGTCTCATTTAATTTTATTATGTTTTTGCCATAGGGCATGTGCACTTGCCAGAGAGAGACAAAAAGAGACAGAGAGAGGGAAGTGAGAACTCACCCCCCTCCCAGGGGGATGGCCCTACCACAATCCCTCCCCCCCATTCTCCTCTCAGGATTTGGGGCACACATACACACAAGCCTGGTGTGATTTACAAACTGCCAGGTCCAGGACTCAAACCATGGTTGGCCAGGTAGGAGTGCAGTGCCTTAAGCACCACACCACCAGCTGGTCCCAGACGCTGCAGTACCTGTATAGAAATTGATTCTAAGGAATGTTTGTGGGTGTTAATAAAGGTTCGGCTGTGGAGATGTTCCGTGCATGTTGTGATATCGGAATATTAGAAAATGTCTGGCAGATTAAAAACAATGCTACTACAGCCCCAGCGAAGGAGTCAGAGCAGCCGTCTTTCTACACGTTTCCCGTGCGTGAAACTCTTCAGACCGCAGTCTGTCTGCTCGTTGAGCCGACACGAGAGCTGCCTTTCAGGCTGGCCTTCAGCAGGGTGAGCTGTGTGTGCGGGTTAAGGGCAGAACCTCACTGTGGACGCACTAACTCCTAACGGGTCCTTGGCGGGGGCACCCCGGGCTCACGGACGCCATACCTTGTCCCTCTTGGGCTTGATCTCACGGAACACATCGCAGTAGCCCATTACGGCTTCCACGAACTTCAGCATCCCCAGCCCGGCTTTGCTCACGGCTTCCATCTCTTCGGTCGTGGTGTTGAGAGTCTTCAAGAGCCCTACAGGTCAAGGAGGCAGTGGGTCCCCTGAGTGGTGAGCTGCAGGGTGGGAGCTGCATCGTGGGAAATCGCACTAAGAACCGGACTGCCTGTGGACAGGGCGTGTGTACTGAGCTCCTCAGGCTGGGGGAACCCTGCGAGCCAAATCCAGACCACGCTCCTGGGACCACGCTCCTGGGATCCTGCTCCTGGGATCATTCTGATGGCCCAAGCCAGGATAAAGGTGGGTCTTTTAGAGAGATTTTTGCTATAGGGCTCATGTACCCGCCAGAGAGACAGAGACAGACAGAAAGTGAGAAATCACCCCCCAGGGGGAATGGCCATGCCACAGTCCCTTCTCCATTCTCCTCTCTGGATCTTGGGCACGCACGCACACATGCCTGGCATGAGTTTTAAGCTGCCAGGTCCAGAACTCGAACCACAGTCAACTACATGGAGCCCAGCGACATAGTCATTAGACCATCAGCTGGTCCCCCAGGATAAGTTCAGTGCAAGTGGAATTTAAGGTGTGGGCAAGGGGCACAGGGGACTGCCACTCAGGCCACCCTGTGGTCCAGGTGCCTCCGTGTGACTCAGCACCTCATCGATGGGGCTCCCAGCTGGGCACCAAGCGGCTGGGCACGGGCAGCAACCTGTAATTCCTGGGCCGCACAGCCGCCCGACACCTCCACCTGCACACTGGCTCCTGGTGCACTCTCACTAGACGGAGGCCCAGCCCATCAACACCCGGGTGGACGGGCACCCCGGTTCTCATCATCGTCGTTAGTGGCATTTAGTCCACTTCTGCTTCTCGGGGGCTGAGAAAGACCATTTGGTGAACAGACCGTCTAGACAGAGACAAAGTGAATGCACGCTGCCTTTGGAAAGGCTGAGGGCCGGGCGGGGTCAAGGTCACGCCGAAAGCGAAGGCCTTCCTTGCACAGCAGAGAAGGGGCCAGGGTAGGAATGCCACCTACGGGGGTGCAAGGGCAGCAGCCCAGGGTGGCCTGGCTCTTGCCACCACCATGCACAGCGGACGGGACGCTCAGGGGCCAGGACTGGGCCGGCCGGGCTCCAGGAAGAAGCTCCTGCCTCCTGGAGAGGGGAGTCGGGCGTCGGCCCGGGGCCGCGTCC